CCTCAGAGATGGATTGAGAGGAACATAGTGGAGGAAGGGTGTCTGGAAGAATTCAAATGTACTTGAAATGTTTTTTTTTTTTAGGCCAGTAAGGTAAGTTCCACAGTGTCTATTTCCTTATTATATATTTTTGTAAGTCTGAGCATTTCATGAAAATGCAGCTCAGACAAAAAAGTCTTTCCAGCATTTGTTTCTCAGGTACTCTCACATATGCTCTGAGTGAAAAGCAATGTATCACTTTGCTGTTGAAGCTATAAAAGATGACCACGGACTCGGGGCCTGTAAACAAGAGAAATTTATCCTCTCCCCCTGTTGGAGATGAGAAGGCCAAAATCAGTTCCTGCAGAAGCTAAGGAAGGGGAGAATGTTCTTGCTTCTTCTGGCTCCTGGGAGCTGTCAGGAATTAGCTGGTTTGTGGCTTCATCACCGCAGTCTCTGCCTCCGTGATCACACGTCTTCTCTTCTATGTCAACTCTCCCTTCCTCTCTCTCTTATAAGGACATTTGTGATTGTGTTCAGGGCTCACCTGGGTAATCCAGGATACTCTCCCCACCTCAGTACCCTTAATCAATCACATCTGCAGAGACCCTTTTCCCATGTGGCAACATTTAATTCATAGGTTCCAGAATTCAGGATTACATGCTGACCACAAGACCTTAGGGGGCTTCCCAGGTGGTGCCAGGGGTAAAGAATCTGCCTGCTAATGCAGGAGACACAAGAGACGTGGGTCCTATCCTTAGGTCAGGAAAATCCTCTGGAAGAGGAAATGGTAACCCACTCCAGTATTCTTGCTTGGAGGGCTACAGTCCATGAGGCCTGAAAGACTGAGAGCGTATATACACACACCCACACACACACCCACACACACACACTGCTGCTGCTGCTAAGTCGCACTCTGTGTCCGACTCTGTGTGACCCCATAGACGGCAGCCCACCAGGCTCCCCCGTCCCTGGGATTCTCCAGGCAAGAACACTGGAGTGGGTTGCCATTTCCTTGTTCAATGCATGAAAGTAAAAAATGAAAGTGAAGTCGCTCAGTCGTGTTCAACTCTTAGCAACCCCGTGGACTGCAGCCTACCAGGCTCCTCTGTCCATGGGATTTTCCAGGCAAGAGTACTGGAGTGGGGTGCCATTGCCTTCTCTCTCTCTCTCTCTCACACACACACACAAATGCCTCTGTCTCAATAAAAATGCAATCCTTCCCTAAAGTCATCATTTCCTAAAGAATAAAACTGGCCAAGGGTTGTAAGTAAAAAATAAAATTAAAAAGAAAATTCAAGAATGCTAGAGGATTTCTGACTTCCCTGGTGGTCCAGTGGTTAAGACTCTGCACTGCCAATGCATGGGGCACAGGTTTGAACCCTGCTCAGGGAACTGAGATCCCACATGACATGGCCAAAAGATTAAAAAAAAGAAGCAGCAGCAGTAGCTAGGGAATTTGGAGAAGCATCAGTTCAGTTCAGTTCAGTCACTCAGTCGTGTCCGACTCTTCACGACCCCATGAACCGCAGCACGCCAGGCCTCCCTGTCCATCACCAACTCCTGGAGTTTACTCAAACTCATGTCCATCGAGTCGGTGATGCCATCCAGCCATCTCATCCTCTGTCGTCCCCTTCTCCTCCTGCCCCCAATCCCTCATCATAGGGCTGGCATTTTATCATTAACAATCTAAAATGAGTCTTTTAGCAAAATTTGTTAAATTTATAGATGGAACCAAATTTGGGGAGTAATTAATAGTGCTAGTTCAATAGTTTAAGAAGAATAAAGGCCTTGAATTTTGACAGAACCATACTGCTGAAGAGCATACTAGCAACACACAGTGAGAGTCCATAAAGCATTATTTGACGAAAGGATTAGATCAGCTTTTCAAGCAAAAGTGAGATTCTGGCCTACACACTCAAGAGCATCCTATAGAAAAGGACACATCATTCAGCCTGTATTTTTATTAAATTTCTATTGAATAAATGAAATGGAAGGGCACATTTCCACTTCATTATGTTTAAAGATCCATCAGCAGGTGTACCTGCTTAGTACTCTTCTGGGGATTTTGAGAACACTGGCATGTACTGGAAACCTGGTCCCTTAGAGGTGACCACATTAGAGGAGATGAGAGCACTACACTGCACTCAGGCTGCCAGGCCCAAGAGGGGCTTAATGAAGTATCGTGAATCCTCTACGGAGCCCGTTGAAAACAGTCGGGTTCAATCTATCTAATTAAAGGGACAGAACAGTGGCAAAAGAAAAGTTTCTCTTTAAAGTCAATCAATTTGGACTTCCCTGGTGGTCCAGCCCTTAAGAATTCTGCCAATGCAGGAGATGCGGGTTTGATCCCTGAGTCAGGAAGATGGAGAAGGAAATGGCAACCCACCCCAATATTCTTGCCTGGGAAATTCCATGGACAGAGGAGAATGGTGGGCTATAGTCCGTGAGGTCACAAAAGAGTTGGACACAACTTAGTGACTAAACAACAAGTTATCATACTGGCTTCAGGAGGAAGCACCTCACAGACTGTTACCTGGAATTTCCTTATCAGGTAACAGAGCCCCAGGTCTATCACACGCATTCCTTCTGTCTTGGACTTTCCACTAGTAGATATGTAGGATTTACATATTTATCAAACCAGTCAATACTAAAGGAAACTAACTCTGAATACTCATTAGAAGGACTGATGCTGAAACTGAAGCTCTAATACTTTGGCCACCTGATGCAAAGAGCCAATTCATTGAAAGAACTTGATGCTGGGAATGATTGAGGGGAGGAGCAGAAGGGGGCGACAGAGGACAAGATGGTTGGATGGCATCATCAATTCAATGGACAAGAGTATGAGCAAACTCCAGGATATAGTGAAGGACAGGGAAGCCTGGCATGCTGCAGTCCATGGGGTTGCAAAGAATTGGACACAGCTGTGAGACTACAACAACAATATACTTACCTGAACTATTGACTAGATAGATGGGTGACACAGTGGTAAAGAATCTGTTTGCCAACGCAGGAGACTCAGGAGATGCAGATTTGATCACTGAGTCGAGAAGATCACCTGGAGGAGGAAATGGCAACCCACTCCAGTATTCTTGCTTGGAAAATCCCATGGACAGAGGAGCCTGGTGGGCCATATGTAGTCCATGGGGTCGCAAAGAGTCGGACATGACTGAGCTGGCATATTGACCAAGATATCCAGTGAAACACAGATCTTTTTTTCTTTTTTAAGAGTTTACATTTTGCAAACTTTATTCAACATTTTCCTTTTTCAAACTGTGGTTTCAGATCTGAATATCCAACGTGTTGATAGACATGTAGCTCTACTGTGCTGGCATTAGGCGATCCCACAAGGAGTGAGTTCTTGATCTGAGATGTGGTATATCCACTTCTTAAATACACATTATTGCAATTGCACAGCAGTAAAAAATTTCTACAAGTTTCAGTTCAGTCGCTCAGTCATGTCTCACTTTGTGACCCGATGAACTGCAGCACGCCAGGCCTCTCTGCCCATCACCAACACCCAGAGTCCACCAAAACCCCTGTCCATTGAGTCAGTGATGCCATCCAACCATCTCATCCTCTGTCATCCCCTTCTCTCCTGCCCTCAATCTTTCCCAGCATCAGGGTCTTTTCAAATGAGTCAACTCTTCGCATCAGGTGGCCAAAGTATTGGAGTTTCAGCTTCAACATCAGTCCTTCCAATGAACACCCAGGACTGATCTCCTTTAGGATGGGCTGGTTGGATCTCCTTACAGTCCAAGGGACTCTCAAGAGTCTTCTCCAACACCACAGTTCAAAAGCATCAATTCTTCAGTGCTCAGCCTTCTTTATAATCCAACTCTCACATCCATACATGGCCACTGGAAAAACCATAGCCTTGACTAGATGGACCCTTGTGGACAAAGTAATGTCTCTGCTTTTTAATATGCTGTCTAGGTTGGTCATAACTTTCCTTCCAAGGAGTAAGCGTCTTTTAATTTCATGGCTGCAATCACCATCTGCAGTGATTTTGAAGCCCAGAAAAATAAAGTCAGTCGCTGTTTCCACTGTTTCCCCATTTATTTGCCATGAAGTGATGCGACGGGATGCCATGATCTTAGTTTTCTGAACGTTGAGCCTTAAGCCAACTTTTTCACTCGCCTCTTTCACTTTCATCAGGAGGCTCTTTAGTTCTTCTTCACTTTCTACCATAAGGGTGGTGGCATCTGCATATGTGAGGTTATTGATATTTCTCCCAGCAATCTTGATTCCAGCTTGTGCTTCCTCCAGTCCAGCGTTTCTCATGATGTACTCTGCATACAAGTTAAATAAGCAGGGTGACAATATACAGAGGGACTCCTTTTCCTATTTGGAACCAGTCTGTTGTTCCATGTCCAAGCTCTAACTGTTGCTTCCTGACCTGCATACAGGTTTCTCAAGAGGCAGGTCAGGTGGTCTAGCATTCCCATCTCTTTCATAATTTTCCACAGTTTATATCCACACAGTCAAAGGCTTTGGCAGAGTCAATAAAGCAGTAGATGTTTTTCTGGAACTCTCTTGCTTTTTCAATGATCCAACGGATGTTGGCAATTTGATCTCTGGTTCCTCTGCCTTTTCTAAAGCCAGCTTGAACATCTGGAAATTCACGGTTCACGTATTGCTGAAGCCTGGCTTGGAGAATCTACAAGCTTAGTGCTTATATGTTTAATTAAAGTAGAAAAGTATTCCCGGGATTTGTGTACATTAAGATGCGCAACCCCAAGATGGTTGTTAAAGCTCGCTCTCCGCGTGCCAACCGCAGCTCCGCCTCAGTCCCAACCTAGGTGTGTTCACACTTGCTGGGATGGCGGCTTTTCTGCCCCCAGCGGTCTGCACGGAATAGTTACTTGCGGTGCTAGGGGCCCATTCTGTCTCTGCCCCGCCCCTACGTCACTGCACGCCCCGCCCCTTTCTGGCCCCGTCCCCGGCCTGCAAGTTCCATGAGCCTCTCTTTCGAAAGGAAGTGGCGTATGCATGAGGTTGGCAGTTAAAGTACGAATCACCGTGAGGGGCGGCCGTTGGGTCCAGGCGGGAGGCGGGACTTCCGCTCCATCGTGGGTAAGTCATCGGGAAGCGGAAGAGCAGCGGGGGCTGGAAGGTTGTAGAGTTGCATGTTGAGCTCGAGTTGCGGGTCTTTAAGTGGTCGCGCCCCCTTGGAGAACGCGACCTGACGGCCAGGCGGTCCTGGGCTCTTCCGCCTCGCGGTGAGTAGGGTCGCCTGGCGGCACCGGTTATGGAGGTGTGTGGCCCCGGTGCTGACCTGCCGCCGTCCCTTGCCATAGGACAGCGGCTTCCCCGTCAGCTTTGCCTCCCAGCACTCACTCCCCGTGTTGTCCTGGGTCTCAGCCGCAGCCGCTGCGCCCGCCCTCCACGCACGCTCCAGGCACCCTTCTGAGACGCTGGTCCAACCTTGTCACGTCCCTGCTTGACGTCCCCATCACAAGATGGCCCTCTTGTTCCTCCCTTCCTAACCCAGTTTCGCCTGCTCTGTACTTAAGCCGCAGGAGGCACCTAACATTATTTTGTTCAAAACCGACATTTGTTTACTAGCTCTTGTCCTTTCGTGTGCATATTAGAAGGCATACCTCTTCACGCCAGTAGAATCAGTTCGTCTCTGCTCACAGAGCGTTGTTTACGCCTTGTAAAAAGCGCGTGCTAAACTTTTTTTAGTATGGTTGCTTGAATGAGACTGTGTTTTCCCACTGGATTGTACATTTCATGAGAGCAAGAGTAGGGTCTTGCTCATTTGGGATCTATCCAAGGCCTAGTTCAAAAGCACGAAGTTTAAAACTAATCTCATTCGCACTAGCTTCATCACCTTCGGCACAATCTCCCCATTTATAAAGTGGTGATAGATAAAATAGCTAATTTCAGTCATCTTACTTAGAGTACCGAGTATATACTGGACAAATATTCGGCTTGTTTCCCTTTTTAGCCTTGAGCAGTATACACAGTAGTTGTTAGGCAGGTATCTTAAATGAATCCAAAGGCACTATAGTTGAGTGATTTTTGCTTCCTAGCCCTGTAATCGCATTGATAGCATCAGTTAGTTGATACATTTGGTAGTATTTGGTAAACATAACCTAATGATGTAATTAAAGACAGTAATGCTAACTTTTGGTATCAACATCTGCAAGAATAAACCTTTGACTTTCAGTCTCTAATTAAGTGGGCTTCCCAGGTGGTGCTAGAGGTAAAGAACTCATCTGACAATTAGGGAGACATAAAAGACGATGGTTCCATCCCTGGGTCAGGAAGATCTGGAGTAGGAAATGACAACCCACTCCAGTATTCTTGTCTGGAAAATCCCATGGACACAGGAGCCTGGCAGGCTTTAAGGTCACAGAGTCAAACATGACTGAAGCAACTGAGCCCTCTAAATAACTTGAGGTGTTTGCTTTAAGTTGTGTGCCTTTCAGACATATATTTCTGAAGAGATGAAGATAAGCATGTACACATTATTTTTTACAGGTGTTTGTAAAGTGCTGCCCAGTTACCCCTGAACATAGTTGAAACAGAAAATAGGAAGATGGCAGCAAACCCTTCAGGACAAGGTAAGTGCATCCTGGAATTTCTTTTATTACTAGGAACTTTTCCCCTCAAAGTATTTTGATAGAAAATTTAGCATAGGGCAGTTATTGTAGCCAGAATTAAAAATGAATTGCAAATAGAAAAAACTAGCAAAGTAAAATCTCTTATTTGAAGCAATTCCAACGTTTTGTTTATATGTCAGTCAGTTCAGTTGCTCAGTCGTATCCGACTCTGCGACCCCATGAACCACAACACGCCAGGCCTCCCTGTCCATCACCATCTCCCAGAGTCTACTCAAACTCATGTCCATCGAGTCGGTGATGCCATCCAACCATCTCATCCTGTGTCATCCCCTTCTCCTCCCACCTTCATTCTTTCCCAGCATCAGGGTCTTTTCAGATGAGTCAGTTCTTCACATCAGGTGGCCAAAGTACTGGAGCTTCAGCATCAGTCCTTCCCATGACTCTTCAGGACTGATTTCCTTTAGGATGGACTGGTTGGATCTCCTTGCTGTCCAAGGGACTCTCAAGAGTCTTCTCCAACACCACAGTTTAAAAGCATCAATTCTTTGGCGCTCAGCTTTCTTTATAGTCCAACTCTCACATCTGTACATGACTACTGGAAAAACCATAGCTTTGACTAGATGGACCTTTATTGGCAAAGTAATGTCTCTGCTTTTTAATATGCTATCTAGGTTGGTCATAACTTTTCTTCCAAGGAACAAACGTCTTTTCAGTTCATGGCTGCAGTCACCATCTGTAGTGATTTTGGGGCCCCCCAAAATGAAGTCTATCACGGTTTCCACTGTTTCCCCATCTGTTTGCCATGAAGTGATGGGACCAGATGCCACGATCTTAGTTTTCTGAATGTTGAGTTTTAAATCAGATTTTCACTCTCCTGTTTCACTTTCATCAAGAGGCTCTTTATTTCTTCTCTTTCTGCCATAAGGGTGGTGTCATCTGCATATCTGAGGTTATTGACACTTCTCCTGGCGCTCTTGATTCCAGCTTGTGCTTCCAGCATTTCTCATGCTGTACTCTGCATATAAGTTAAATAAGCAGAGTGACAATATAAAGCCTTGACATACTGCTTTCCCAATTTGGAACCAGTCTGTTGTTCCATGTCCAGTTCTAACTGTTGGCTTCTTGACCTGTGTATCGATTTCTCCGGTTAGGTGGTCTGGTATTCCTATCTCTGTAAGAATTTTCCAGAGTTTGATTTGGTCCACAAAGTCAAAGGCTTTGGCATGGTCAATGAAGCAGAAGTAGATGTTTTTATGGAACTCTCTTGCTTTTTAAATGATCCAGCAGATGTTGGCAATTGATCTCTGGTTTCTCTGTCTTTCCTAAATCCAGGTTGAACATCTGGAACATCTAAATCCTGTATTTTAATCTGTGTTAATATTGCTCACATTGTAAACCTTAGGTCCTCCTCTGACATTTGTTCTCTTACTTTCTTACTTGAGATCAGAACCACTTTTAAAGAAGTTAATATTGTCATTGGGCCATATCCATGCCTTTATTTTCATTTGCTTGAAAAACTTTCCATACACATTTCATCTGTATTAAGAGCTCCCTAAAGCAAATCAAGTTAGATACATCCCAAGTAAGGAGTTTTTGTTTAGTTTAAAAGTAAGTTTTCAAAAGCAAAGTTTAATCTCCAGAAAGTATTCAGTTCCACCTTGTAAGTGAAAATTACAGATTTACAAACCTACTTGAAAAATTGAAACAAACTTCTCTTTTCCTCTCCATACCAAAATTAAGCGTCCATTTGACAGATCTTATTTTTAAATTAATCTTGGTCATGTTTCATTTTAAACGTCATATAAACATGTTTGTGTCCAGCTCACACTCACTATACTGTCTGTGAGAATCATCCATGTTGTGCCATGTATCAATTGTTCATCCTTTTTTTATTGCAGACTAGTATTCCATTGCATGAATTTACCACAGTTTCCTTATTCATTTTCCTTTGTGGAGACTTTGGGGTTCTATCAGTTTGGGTCATTGTGAATAAAGCTGCTTCTAATATTTGTCAGTCTTTTTGCAGATATTTGGATAAATAGCTAGGAGTGGAGTGTACTTTACATTCCCTCTAGTAAAGTGTGATAATTCTGGTTGCTCCATATAGAGCACTGTTGGTCTTTTCAATTTTAGCCATTTTAGAGGGTGTAAAGTGACATCTCATTGTGGTATTAACTTTCATTTCCCTGATGACAAATGTTGGGCACTTTATAATGTGCTTATTGGCCATTGCAAATCTTTGTTAAGTGTTTGGTCAGACTTCCTTTTGCTCATTTTTTTAAAAATTGGGTTATTTTTATTATCAGTTTTTTTTTTAAGAGTCTAGATACAGGTTCTGTGTCACTGCTAATTACATAACCTAAATCAATCATTTTGGAGTTGGTTTCTGTTGACTGCATTTTTTTTTTTTTTTGAGTATGGGTCACATTTTTCTTTTTCTTACTGTAAGTCAAAGTCGCTCAGTCATGTCCGACTTTTTGTGACCCCATAGACTGTACAGTCCATGGAATTCTCTAGGCCAGAATACTGGAATGGGTAGCTTTTCCCATCTCCAGGGGACCTTCCCAACCCAGGGATTGAACCCAGGTCTCCCACATTGCAGGTGGATACTTTACCAGCTGAGCCACAAGGGAAGCCCAAGTTTCTTACTAAGCGATTTGTTATGAAATCCTGGGTACTATGACTAATACATTACAGAGTCCATGGATTCTGTTATATTCCTCTGAAATGTGATTTTTGTTCTAGCAGATGGCTTGGCTCAACTCATACTCCAAACAAACTCTTGTCTCCTTTACGTTGGGCTACAGCAGCTGAAATCTTGCTCACTTTTTTTTTTTTTTAATCTTAAGCAATAGTCTTTATTTTTACACAAGGCAGTAAAATGGGGCAGTTCCTCAAAGGGTACTTGGAATTAGAAAATCCACCCTGGGTGTGAAAGTTTTAGTTGCTAAGTTGCGTCCAACATTTTGTGACCCCATGGACTGCAGCCTGCCAGGCTCCTCTGTTCATGGGGTTTTCTAGGCAAGAATACTGGAGTGAGTTCCCATTTCCTTCTCCAGGGAATGCTTCCCAGGATTGAATCTGAGTCTTCTGCCTTGGCAGGCAGATTCTTTACCACCAAGCCACCTGGGAAGCCCTTTCCAGAAGTGTGGTATTGTAAAAAACTAGCTGTGGTGACAGCTTTACTGGGTATAACCAGCTAATACAGTTCTGTTCTCTCAGAGGTCTAAGAGTGACTTTTGTGTTCTGTGGACTCATTACAGGTCAGCATTCCCCTGTGGTCTCTGACCTCTTCTTTTCAACAGGTTATAGGGATTCAGATTAAAATTTGAACCAAAATGAAACTAAGAGAAATGCATTTTGGAGAGAAAATATGCTTCTCAAAGTCACACCATGAAGTCCAAATGAAAACAAAATATATATTTTTATCCTTCTGTTGTAATAGCACAGATATTCGAGATTTATAATTTTTTTAAGCAGTTGGAATAAAGCACAATCATTTTTACTGTTGCCTTTGATTGATCCATAGTCAAATCCACTATGAAACGTCCCCTAAACAGAAACAAATTTAGATTAGTCCTTTGACTCTTGTTGCTCTTTTGTCAGTGATTTTTTTGGTGTCATGAGCCGCTGCTATTAGACACCAGCAGAGGGAGTCCATATCATGTTCTGTAGACTCCGAGACTCTCAGGGAAAATAAACTATTTATTTGGAGCTACTGCATTTTACTCTTTATGTTAAATTACTTCTGTACTGTTTATGTGTATTGGAACTACTTATTATAAAGATTGAAGACAAAGTTCCATAATTATCTTACAGTAATAACTGAAAGAATAATGACTTTTATGAAAATCTTCATCTGTGTGGTGTGATTTGTTAATGTCTCTACTGTAGGGGACGGGCGATCTTTTAGATCTAGCAGTTTATCATACTATAGTAGCAATCTGAATTGCTCAATTTCACAAGCTCTTGGCAGACAGTTACTGAAGTCTCTCATTTCTCCTTAGCATTCATCATAGTGTGGAACATTTGATGGGTTCATAATAATTATTTGATTGATAAGTAACATTTTGAGAATTTAATATGTAGAGGCAGATTGTCAAACTGGAATTTGGCCAAGGTACCATTCCTGTGGAAAGAGGCTCTCATGACTGGTAAATATCAGAGTCCTGTGATCATGTGTTGGCAGTTGGGAGATTGGTCTAACCTGATTTCAGCTACACAGAGAAACCTGGTGAAAAACTAAGTAACATCCTAGTTCTTTTAATTCTTTTATAGTTCTCTCATAATGCTTCGAGTAATAACTGTAATTCCTGCAATCCAGTGATGGGAACTATTGATTTGGGGCCACTTTGGATGTTCTTAGCTGTGATTTCAGGATGCTGTATAGGACTGGAGTAGCATAGCTCCTGGGAGGTGTCTTGGTGACCTCAGACCCAAGTACCTAAACCATCTATGGTCCAGAAGGAAAGCAAATTTACCCTTCAGGCTTGTAGTAAGGTATGCTACCTCTCAATTAAGAATTTTTCCTAGTGATGCATAAAAATCACCTTAAAATTCTTGTATTTGTACCTTTCTTAAAGATGAGTGTGTGGATGCAAAGACACAGTTTTTTTTTTTTAATAACAGATATGTTTATTATTACATGTCTGCAAAGACACAATTTGGAGTTGGTTTTTTAAAGCTAGATTTCTAAGTAAATAAAGCTAGATTTCTTTTTGTATCATTTTTTATTGCCAAGGCAAAGGCACTACAGTAGTTTTCTGATGCTGGAATTGATCTATAGGCCCAGGTTCAAATAGGAATGAAACTGAATTGAGGCAGAGTGTTATGTGATCTAGAATGAGATTGTTTGTGTAGTAAAGGAGAGCTTGTGATCCCCAGGTCCATTCAGACTGACCTGGGAGGCCAGTCATGTGAGTGTAACCTAGAAAGCTATACTAATCAGTTGTACCCTTTGTAATAGAAACCTGTTTACTGAAAGAGAATTGTCAGAATGG